CTATAGTATTGAGCAATTCAGATTGTCTTTGGTGAAAATAGAGACCCTACATGCAGTATCAGTGAGTCTTGTTTTATTCTCTGATCCTTTTAACAGCCTTTTTGTTTCATATCCTTTATGTGAACAGATTTTGGAGTTTGACTTGAGGGGTATACCACTGGACTTTTCATCTTCTCTTGGGATTGTTGTGAAAGATTTTGAGACAATTGGACAAAATAAGTAAGTTGCTTTCAATCATTCTCGTTTTACGTATTGTCTTACTGTTGTTTATTTTGTTGAAGAACCACATCTTTAATAACATGTTAAAATACTTCCAATATAATCGTGCTTTAATTCCATGCCCCTGCCCCTTTCTGAGCCAATATAGGATGTGGCTAATCAATCACAGCACTTTTTCCCAATGACTGCTGTATTCCAAAGAGGCAGCCAACACTGAGCCAACACCAGTGTATCAAATTCCACACTTGAGGTGAAACCTGTTTACACTCCTGCAGCTTCTTCGTTAACCATGCACATAGTTACTTCCTCCCTCTGGTAGTTCGTCTGAACTGTAGTTGTATCGGACACAACCAAAATCACTTTTTTCTTCTGATTATTTGTGGCCCATACCCTTCTCATTTCAAGTTCTACTTCCAGCCTCATTTCCATTTTAATGTCTCATTTGCCTTTTAATCTCATTGGACCTAAACCAGACATGTCTCACTGCTCCTTCCAGTTTCAAATGGGGAAGGGTCATGGTGGTGTCCATATAAATTTGCCCTTTGGGTAAATTGGGGGGTGGGGGGTTCCCAATCAGGTCCCCATGGGACAGAGTAACCTCGGTAAATTCACCCCAGTCCCAGATCTGGACTTTGGCCTTGTAGACTCAGCCCCAGGCTTAGGTTACCAATTCAAACTGACCAAGTTCACGAGAGACTAATCCTTAAAACCAGAATACCTACTTGTTATTTTCCAGTGGAAATCAATTGTCTTGTGGGAGGTCATTCATACCCTTTGATTCATGAATTTTCCTTCAAGTTATACCACATGGAAAGCCAAATTACTCTGTGTCCTTGATTATAAGATGTCATTGTTCATAAGATATATTATTAAGTTAATTACAGGTTGGGGGGAGGGGAAGAAGCCTGGTATTTAATTCCCACATCAATTTTAAGAAGGATCCCAATTTTTAGTAATGTTAGTACATTTAAAAATGTTGTTTTAGCTCAGGCTTATTTGGTATAATCAGAAGTCTGTAATGAAAGCAATAAATTAGGACGAATTAGTTGAGGTAGGGTTACCATATGCCCTGATTTCACACTGGCCTTGGGACAGTCCTGGTTTATTGTCCCAGCACAGTGATTAATAATTCCCCTTTTGCTGTCAATAGTGGCTTGGTTTGGACAGTAAATTAGACGGTCACTGTTGTGGGGCAAACGCACATAGGAATCCAAGACCGGGGTCAGTGTTGCAGTTTGTGTAGCTTTTATTTTAGTGTTGCAGCTCTTTGTTCAGTGTTATGGTGCCTATTTTTGCTTGTAAGCAAGGATAGCACTGGGGAGCAAGAACTCCTAAACCAGTGTCTCCCAGAACAAAGGAAAAGACCATCTTATATAGCCTAAGTTCCTGCCCTTTTCCCTCCCAGGTTCCCATTCAGGTCCTCTTATGTAAATGAGGGCTGCTGCCCTGCTAATTTGGATTGGCTGATTGTGGGACACAGCCTGTTGGTTACTTCAAGAGCCTAATTTGCCTCTGGTCCCCAGGGGGTGTGAGACGGCTGTTATTGCACAGAGAGCGGGTGCAGGAAGCAAGCAAGTTAGGTCGCAGAGGCCAGAGTCTGCAGTAGAGCGTAAAGTTTCTAAAACAGCTTCTCAAGTGGAAAAGGGGAAAGGCTTAACAATTAGAAAATGCTTAGGGTTCCCTGCAACAGTCACTCCAGTCATTGAGTTCTTTTAACAGTGTCAGACTAAGAAGAGCCTGGATAGACATCTATTCCCTGGATAGTGCTTTGATAGGTATTACTATGTTTGCCTTTGATGCAATCCTTTTTTTCATGCTCCATTGCTGACCAATGCCCCCTTGTGACTGATGCATTTTTAATTTCACCTACATAAATACATTCTGGCAGGTTCTGGTCCTACTCTATTGGACTGAAAACCATTCTACCTTTTTAAGGTTATGTTGCATATCTCAGCTTTGACCCATTATATGATTATTTAGCTCTTACCCCAACTCTCCGAAGACAGTTTTATTTCTCATATTTCCAAGTTCTGGGGAGATGTGTGGTAGCCTTCTATATGTTACTAATAATAGTCCCTTCTCTTCTTTGCTTTCCTCTTTCTGCAAATGGTGTTACCGTTTATATTCCAGACCATCCCTTTTTGGTAGAAATATAGTGCAGGGTGCATGCGCAATTTAAAATTTTCTAGTAACCATGTTAACAAAAATAAAAAGAAACAGGTGAAATTAATTTTAATAATATATTTAACCCAGTATATCCAAAATGTTATCATTTCAACATGTCATCGATATTTTTTAAATCAT